CCCCAAAACCCCAAAACCCCAAAACCCCAAAACCCCTTTATTTAAGCTTCTTAGAGAAAATATTAAATCAAAATTTATGGAAAGCTCTGATAGAAACATTCTTATTACCGGTGGACTTGGGTATATTGGCTCTCACACAGTTGTTCATTTTGCTGAAAATAGGGGTTATAGCCGGATTATAATCGTTGATGATCTCTCAAACTCCTCAATAGAAGTATATGACAAAATCCACCAAATATTGTGAGACACTTCGATTGAAATCATATTCGAAGAAGTAGATTGTGCCAACTTCAACCAGATGGATGATAAAGTTTTTAGCAAGTATGATATTCACGAAATCATCCATTTCGCAGGCTCTAAAGATGTCAATGAGTCTTTTTCACTTCCTTTATTGTATTATGAAAATAATGTTATGTCAACTATAAACTTATTAAAATTAGTTGATAAGTATAAAGGCACATGTAAAGCCTTCATTGTGTCTTCCACTGCTGCTGTTTATTCGGACCAAGAATTCACTGAAGAGTCAGAAACCGAACCAACTAATCCTTACTCGAGGTCCAAGTTGATGATAGAGCAAATTTTAAAGGACTACAGTCGTTGTAATAACAGAATCTTCTGAATCTCTTTCAGATATTTTAATCCTGTTGGAGCTCATCCAAGCGGCATGATAGGGGAAAATCCTGGGAAACCAACCAATATTATGCCTGTACTACAAGAAGTGGCTACTCAGAAGAGAGATCACATTGATATTTATGGCGCAGACTATGATACTGAGGACGGAACCTGAGAGAGGGACTACATTCACGTGATTGATGTTTCTAATGCTCATCTTTGTGCGATGAAGTACATTAGTAATTTAACAACTTTTAAAAAAGACGAAAATTTCGAAACTATAAATATCTCTACAGGAAAACCTACTAGTGTTCTAGAACTCATTAGAGTATTTGAAGAAGCTACTGGGAAGACTCTTCCATATAAGATGTCAGATAGGAGGGAAGGAGACAAGGCTTTCTCTAAGGGATCCACTGACAAAGCCAAGAGACTTCTTAATTTTGAACCTAAGTATAGTCTGAAGGAAGCTTGTCAGCACTCATGGAAATGGATCAAAGGCCAATTGGAAGGATATTCAAAAATTGATAAAGCAGTGAAAAGCTAATTAAATTTCAGAGTTAAATTAATTCAAACATTTTATGAAAAATCGGGGTTTTGGGGTTTTGGGGTTTTGGGG